AATATTGTCGTTAAGATTTAGCATTGGATTAAGGATTTTCAATTGAATTTTTTCCAGAAACTATAACATATTTAGGATTAAAGCAGTTATTTCATAGAGAAATGAAAGGATTTTTCAATAGGTATGATTCTGATAGAGATGGGAAATTATCATTCAATGATATCTAATAGTTTGTTTAGCCAAAATAATTAGAATATTAGTGCTTTATTAAGAAAGGAGGAAATTACAATCGATTAATTGAATTGATAGAAATAGCTGAAGAATATGAGAATTATTTAATTGAAAATATTGAAGCATTAGAATTTTAAGAGAATTATTAGATTTCAATAAAATAGTTTTTGAGTTCTAAATTTAAACAACCAACTGAAAAAGATATATGGTTTTTAAATCAAAGATTTGAATGTTACACAATAGAAGACTTTTTAGGTTATTTTGAATAGTATAAAAAATCTAATTGACTTAAATTTTATATATATATAATAAATATTTATCAATGAATACTTAAGATGAAATACTTTTGCTTAAGAAGTGCATATGTGAATTTTTAAATAAATTACTTCCTACAATTAAGGATCCGTTAATTTTAACTAGATAAAGACTTAGCTAATTTAAAACTGTACTTTTAGATGAATTAAAAACTATTTAAGATGTGTATTACTATGTTCAAACACTATAATTTTAAGACGGGTTAGCTCTCAGAACTGATACAAAGATTGAACATTAAAGGAATCCATCAGGGACTAATTAAGACTATATGAATTTAAATTAAAACCCTACAATACCAGAAAGAAGAACTAATCCAACATCCATTGGATTAAATAGAGGATAAGATCCTTAATAAACAAATGCTGGAAATACAATAAACATTAAAATTAATAATACAACAGCACTTAATTAATAAAATTAGATTGTTGAAGATCAATTAGAAATACCTAAGTTGGGCAAAGATATCTTTTTTAAAAGACCATCAACAAGAAAACTATCTATTAAAACAAAAGATGCCAAAGTTTAAGAAAATAATTATAAACCTATTGATGAAATTTAAAAAGTGAATGTTTATGGATAAAAAGCAGATACTTTTAGTGTTTTTAATAATTATAGTAAGAAAACCCCATTTTTCGATAAAGAAACCTTATTAGCTGAAATAAAGGAGAGTGAAAAGATTATTCGTAAAAACACAACTACTTTAAATGCTGTATATAGCAGAAGCTTTGAAATTTTAACTGGTGAAAAAGAATAAAATACAGAATAACTAAACAGTATTCAATAAGGAATACGTGCACAATAAGATTTAAGAGAATTATAAAATGCATAAAGAAATGCTACATTAAAAGGGTATTCGATTTATGCTAAGAAGGATAAGGATATTGCTAAATAGAGAATGGATGAAATTGCATAAATTAACGATAAAAAGAAACTATATTTTTGATGAATATATTTAAATATATAGATTAATGAATAAATTATATCCAACAGATAAAATACATCATCAATATGTTGAATATCCTCAACGTTGGCTACAATTAGTCTTATTTTTGTGTGCTTTGCTTTCAAACATAATGTTCGGATTTTCACTTTCGCCAATTGTAAAGGAAATGTCATTGGTTTACTAAGTTGATAGCAGGTAAAAAGAATATTAAATGATGAAGATATCTGCAATTTTTGACTATAAGTTTTACTGTCTTCTCAGTGATAATGATAATCCCAGGTAACATTATTAATGAAAAATATGGAATTAGAATGAGTATTATGATAGGTAATGAATTATTGCAATATTAAAGGTTGTGCATTGACTTTTATAGGTTCAATATTTGCAATTTTCATCAATGTTTCTTTTTGGTTTTTCTTTATTGGATAATTGATTTCTTTAATAGGATTCCCATTTCGATTGATAAGCGCATCAAAGTTTGTTGCAAATTGGTTTTTCCCTGAAAATAGAATACTTATTATGGTTATTATAGCATTAGTTTTTAATGCAAGTTCAGGAATATCTATTAGAATTCCACTAATAGTATTAGGAGACTTTTAGATTCATGATCATCCAACAGAAGAATAAATTGAATTAGGACGAGCTTTAATTGAAAGTTTAATGTTTTTACTATTTGGGTTGATGATTTTATTATGTGTACCACCGATTCTTTTTTTCTTAAGTAAACCAGTCACTCCTCCTAGTTTTAGTGCTTCAGATGTATAGATACATTATTTTATTAGGAATGTGTTAGAGAAGATTATAACAAAGCCAGTGTTGTAGTGGCTAGCAATCCTGATTTCATATTGCTAACTATTAGTTTTGCTTTTATCTTAGGAACGATAACATTATTTACATTATAGATGGAATATTTTATATCACCCTTCAATTATTCTCTTAAAGATTAAAGTAATTTGGTATTAGTTGGAGTGATAGCAGGTTTAATTGGAGATATTTGTGTTGGTACTGCTATAAAGAAGACTTAATCCTATAAAAAAGTGTTGAGAATTTGTAATATATTAGTGACTGTACTATTTGGTATACTCATACTAGCCCTTCATGTAAATAAAGTGTTCTTCTTTATTATTTATTTTTTTTTGTGTGGAAGTTCTGCCATTATGGCTTTGACTTTTGAGTTCTCTTGTGAATTATGTTTTCCATTAAGTGAGAACACTACAATTGCTATGTTAGGGTTCTTTGGTAACCTTCTTAATTTTTTGTAAGGGATTCCTGAAATCTTAATTCTGAAGGTATATATTACTTTATAATTCATTTAGGGAGATAATTAACTCTGCTCTACTTTGGCTATGATATTTATGTTGATCTTGATTGGTAGTTCAAATGTATTGACTATGAAAATTAACGAAAATCTTAAGAGATCAGAATAAGATATTCAATTGGATGATAGAATTGAAAAGAAAAATACTGAAGTCAGCTTATTAGAATAATCAAAATTTAATAATAACAATGAAGATTATTGATTATATATATAAAAATTAATATAATTTATGCTAAAGGTAATTGGCTTTTTATTATTAATTCATTCTGCCATCTCATTAATAAGATATAGAAAACATTTAATCTATAAGGACATGGCAGATTAATATCATATACCTCTAGATGTATTATTATTTATAAATCTGATAGATCTTAATGGAAATAATTGTTGGATTTGCTTTGAACATGTTTTTCGGAGTTATTTTGGATAAAAAATTTGCTAATATTCATCAATTTCCTCATAAGAAAACGTATACTTTAAATTTATTATCATAGATATGATTAAGCATTCTAAAGACCTAATTTTAGATAACCTAGTGGTCGAGGAGGAGTATTATAATCTGTAGTAAGAGATAAAATTGGTAATTTTGATATAAACAAATGATAAATTTGTGTACATTATGAAATCTGTGTGTTTTATATATATATTGAATTCATCTAAAATAATATAATGCTCTTGCTGTAAGTCCTTAAACCTTTGATTCATCTTCAGTCTAATTAAGCCAATATTCTTCAAATAATGCCCTGTCTTCTGGTTTAGAAGCATCAAGTTTAGTTAATTATAAATATTCAAATGTTGGATGATCTTTCTATATAATATTAAAATAATCTCTTACTAAATATTATGGGATTTCAGTTCCTCTCCATATCCAAGCTCCACTAATTTAAAGATCTGGGACATCTCCATAGACACCATGAATAGCAAATGCCCATTTTTTAAAATGAGGATCAGCTCTTTATAAAAATCCATTGCAATTATTTCTAAATGAAATCAATACTTTTCCTTCTTATTCAGCTTTAATGTATTTAATAATCCAAATTGACCATCCTTAAGAATCAAAAATGTTCCAAAAGTTTTTGAATTCAGCAGCAAAATCTTTTGATGCTAAAAATTATCTCTTCCAATCATCAATATTGAAAGTAGATTAAGGTAATAAATCAAATTCACATTATTATTTTTTTGGTTTCTCTTCTTCTTCTTCATCTTTTGGAGCAGGCTTTTATTATTAGGCATTTTATGGTTATTATTTTTATTATTTTTATTATTATTATTATTATTATTATTATTATTATTATTATTATTATTACTATTACTATTATTAATATTAAAATGGGAAAGCCTTTACACAATATTTGGTTTTTCCATAATACTAGATTTATATATTATTAATTTACATTCACAAATGAAGGTAATTCAGATATATATTTGTACCATCTTGATATATTTGGTATTGTTGATCTATATTGTTTATCAAATGCAAATGTAAATAATCCTTAGAAATATGATGCCAAATTTAAATCAGCAATTGTCAATAATTCACCAACTAAGAAATTATTTGCTTTAAAATGATTTTCTAATATTTTTAATTTCCAATTTAATTCTTTCTTAACTTCTTCTTATTTTTAGGGTGTTGTCTATTCATAACCAAGTATTGGTAATAGTAAACCAAGTAGAGTAGGTTCCAATTCAAGTGATGTAAAATCTAACCATTGTCTAACTTTGGCTTATTGGTAATCTGTTACTCCTACCAAAGGTGTTCCTCTGGCAACATATTATAATATAGCATTGCTTTCAGTTAGATATCCTTCAGGTGTCTCTAATAAAGGAATCTTACCAACTGGATTTTTAGCCAAAAAGGCAGGTGTCTAGTATGAATAAAGAATTTTTACTTCTAAAGTTTTATATTCTACAAAATCATTAATGATTTAGACATTGGCTAATTGAGCAGCCACTATAATTTTACCAGCTCTTGGATTACCAAGTGTATATGTTAGTTTAAGTGACATAAAAATATCTTAATATTTAAATTTTAATTTCTCATTCCTCAATGAACTGCAATTATTAAATGAAATAAAAATGATTTCATACATACTAATTCTTTCATAATTTATTAGAATCACTTATTTATAGTGATTTATAATAACATGTAGAATTGATATAAGAGAACAATAAATAATAAAAAAAAAAGGATAGATTGAGTATTATTATCAAGTATTGATTTTATTTATTAAAATGTCTCTTAGTCAATTGTATGGGAAATAAACAATAAATTATGCAAGTACAATATAAAATTAATCATTTTAAGAGAGCTCAGACAAATGAGATCTCCAAATGATTCACAATCATTTGGATTGCGTCAAGATTTTCATGAATTTACATAGTTACATCGCTAACCTGTTGAGACAAATAAACATTAAAGAGCAAAGTCAACAATGTAGAATAATTATAGATAAGGAACTCCTATAACAGATTAAGAGGAGATAGAAGGAGAGAAATTGTTTGATTAATTTTTTAAGTTTAACAACTCAAAAAGTGAGAGCGATTTTATAAGAGATTCTGTGTAGAGAGATTTAAAATAGCCAGAATCAGAATTTTTAAGGTTTGTAGAGAATGCAATTGAATATCATAAACAATCTGAAATGCATTTTCGACCTACTATTAAAAAAAATTAGCATTTATAATAGAAAACAAAAGAACTTACAATTTCAAATAGATTATTGGCAAGTGAAATTAATAGATATAAATAGAGAGAGATTGAATTAAAAAATAAGATAAAAATATTACAAAAAGAATATTAATTAGAATTGGGTCAATTAATATAGAAGAATGAATGGTTAGAAGAATTGTTAGTAAAACAAAAAATAGACAATGAGAATTCTTTATTGGCTGTTAAAAAATCTTTGGAAATGATGTAAGGAAGATGTATGTGTCAAAAGGGAATGGCTGATAAGATAATGAAAGAAGTTAAATAATAATCTAGACAATAATATGATATTCAAGCAACACATTCATCATCTGAATTAAGCAGTAACACTGGAGATGAAGACTTTGAATTTGATTATATGAGAAGAAGAAAATCTTTATCAAAGGTACTAAAATACAATATACATAGACATCAGAAGAACATCAATTTTAACTTGTTAAAAGTAAGAACTTAAGAGAATTTGCTAGAGACCAATTTATCAGAAAGAAACCTTAACAAGATCCTTATTATACATGAATATTAAATTATTATATAAAAGTTTTCATCAAGAGATTAGTACCTCTTTCAATTTTGTATTTTTTTGAAGGAATCATACTAGGAATGATTTTATACAGTGTTCCATCTTATTTGATACATAAAGGTGTTGAGATAAATAGATTCAAGTTTTCATTCATTGTGCTATTACCTTACTTGTTCAGATACATGATTGTACCTTTGATTAATAGCATAAGTTGGACAAGATGGGTAGAAAAAGAAGCTAGTTGACATTAATGTATTTTGGATTAGGGTATAGTTTTGTTTAAAATTCTAAGAGTTCTGTTATATTTTTTAAATTTCTAATCAATAAATCCTAGTACATGGTTTTGGAACATATTCTGGATTGTATGTTTATTGGCTTGCATTGACATAATAATAGCAGCATGTTTTGTTGAAAGTTTAGAGAAGTAAGACAGAGTTTATGGAATGTTGGCTCAGTTTCTAGGAATTTTTATAGGTAGATTTATTGGAGCTTATATTTTTAAATTGTTTAATTTACTTGAATTTTGCAATAAATATATTTATGCCATTCCTCAAGAGATACAATATTTAACTCTTTAAAGTTTAATTAAAGATATATTTTTAGTTGGATTTAAGAATTTGCCTTTTATATCAATAGGACTTGGATTTGCATGTACTATTATAATACATATGAATATGATTATATTAGATAATTAAGGCTTATAAATCAGCATTGGGAGCCTTTTCGAATCGTCATTTGATAGTTCTCTTTTTGTTTCTTTAGAATAGGATAAATGCCAATTGATTTAGCTCATATTCATTTGAAGAGAGATTAATTTACAGAGGGATAAATTCAATTTCTAAAGATATTAATGATTAAGATTAGAGTTTTAGAAATAAGGCTTATAAGAGTATTTTTAATTGATAAAAAGGAAAAGAAACTTCTAATAAATACAGAATTAGTAACTTTGTCTTAATAATAAATTATAATTTTTGTATGTGATCATAGTTTTATAGATTATTGAGTTAGTTTAGGTTATTATAATATTTTACAATAATAATTTGTATTTATGATTATTTATTTTAATTATTTTATATTTTTATCACCATGGATGATCGTTTGATTGAATTGTATAAAGTAAAAGCATGGTAATCTAGATGTCTGGCAGATAAGATTCATTTTAATTGAACAATTCCAATTCTTCTTAGGATGATGATTTTATGCCTTAATTCTCTGCGAAAATAAAAAAGGCACAATAGTGTTTAGAAAGAATCAAAGAAAATAATCTTAGAATGTAGGAAATGTCAGAGAAATATTCTAGAGCTACTACATCTTATGTTGAAAAAGGTATATATAAATAATTGAAATATTTTAGAGTTATCAAGAGAATTAGAATAAATTATGGTGTAAAATTAACAATTTAGTAACTAATTAAAAGAAGCAATGAAAGATATTAAAGAAGATGTTGAAAGAAGTGAAAGAGATGAGAAAGTAACCTATTTTGTATTATAAGAGGATTAACCTGAAACCTAAATGAAAATTAATCAGAGAAATGCATTAACTAGTAAAGTTTAAGAAGTTTTACATGCTTCTTCTTAAATTTCAATTAAATATAAGACTTGTGTGAGAGAGAAAATCAGAAGGTAAACAAAGATTTTAGATGAAAATGCAACAGAAGAGTTTTTAGATGAAATATGCAATGATCCATAAGTATGTATATTTTATCGAAAATAATATTAGAAAGCAACATAATTATTATAAGGAAAACTCTATGGAGAAGCTCCTTCTATTGGTCTTACTAATGCAGTTTCAGATATATAAGAAAAATATAAAGATATTTAATAATTGGAAAAAGTAAATTCTTTAAATATATATTAGTCAGTTGAATTAGTATATTAATTATTTGTTGATTTAGCAATCTTAGTTCATGCTTAAGGTTAATAAATCGATAATATAGAAATAAGTCTAGGATCAGCCAAAACTTATGTAGGTAAGGCAGAAAAAAGCCTTGTAGAAGCAAAGGAGGATCATTAATCAGCTAGAAAGGTATTAATATAAGCCATTCTTATTAGAAAATATGTTGTATTATCTTAATAGGTGTAGTAATCTTGGCTGTTATTATTGGACCTATAGTTGCGACGTCATGATTTATATTAAAAATTTATTTTATATATTATATTGTTAATTGTAATCTTTTTGTTTAAAGTGTTTTATTATTGTGGTAATAATGCTCATTTTTGATATCTTTAATTTTGGATTTTCTTATTTAAAATAAATGTAAATAATAGAAGATCTATTTAATAGAAATTAGTGAATTATATTTTTACAATAATATTTTCGAAAAATTTGATTTAATACTTAAATATCAATCATGATAAAAATGGCTTGATCGTTATTAATTAACTGCCTTTTATTTAGTTGATTGATTTGAATTCAAAGGTATATCAAAAGATTGATTATTTTGATTACTACTAATATTAACTCTTTCTTTTTTGTGATTTTATGATCTACCTCCACTTTAAAGCATTCTATTATATTATTATTATTCTCTATTTGAATTACGATAAGGATTCATAATATCTAATTCTCTTTTATTTCTTGAACTTACTTTTCTGAAATCTTCCTTATTATGATAATCAATAGATGTCACATTATTATTTTTAAATTTAACTCCATATTTTTAACATAACATATTTGAATAAGGAGCATTCTTATTTTTGATAACTGGTGATTATTCAAAATAGTTTTCATCTTTTTATCTTGCTTATACACTTTAAGCCTATCCATTATTTCCTACTCTATTAACACTTAAATCATTATCTGCCAATATTTTATTTTAATTAGTTGTTTTAATAATTCTACCTCTATCTTTATCAGTTGAATATGATCTTTATTTAATTATTTCATCTTTCATTTGTTATCTAATGACTTCATTATTAACTAATGAACTAATTGGAGCTATTAAATATAAAATTAAAGAATACCTTTTTAAGGTCTTTGTTTAGGTTCTAAAAGTGTGATATCAAAAGATTCAAAATTAAGATCTGCTGTAGATCTACCTCCATTTGTTAAATGTCTTTTTAGAAGTAAATGATAAAATGTTGTAATATCATTATGTTTATTAGCATCTAAACATTTTTATGCATGATCTATATCTATGCCATATTATTTTAATTATTTAAGAATTTCTTAATCTATTGGAATTCTATTATAACCAACCACTATTCCAGGAGGAATGTCATAACTTCTTTTATAGATCTTAAACCATGGATGATTTCTGATATCATTTATAGTAAAACGTTTATCTGGTTTGACTGTCAAAATTCCTTAGATCATTGATTATGCTTCTTTAGAGAGATGAGATGGTAATTAATATGATCCACTTAAAATCTTTTTATAAAGAGCAGAAGTGTTTTAATCTTCAAATGGCAAATAACCACATAAACATGCAAACAATATAACTCCAGAACTCCATAAATCGACTTTTACTCCTTAATATTTTTGTCCTTCTATCATCTATGTAATTAGATTAGATTTTCTGTACTTCAGGAGCTGCATAACAAGGACTTCCACATGCAGTTTTCAATAATTCTTCTGATTTATAAGTATTGGATAATCCAAAGTCAACAATTTTTAGATTCTTATTATGATCAAGCAACAAGTTCTCTGGTTTCAAATCTCTATGTACTACTCTTAATTTATGTAGATATTCAATTCCAGCTATAAGTTCTTAAAATAACTTACAAGCCTCCACTTCTTCCAATCTTATTAATTCAACAATATTACTTTGTATTTTAAACAATATAATCAAATAATTCACCCCCACTAATCATTTCCATTACTAAAAATATATGTTTTGGTGTTTCAATAATCTATATATAATCTTTTAATACCTCATATAATTAAATAATATGGGGATGTCTGACTAACTTTAGAATATGAATCTCTCTTTATACTCTCTCTACATCTGCTGTTTCTATTATTCTATCCTTCTCTAATATTTTTATGGCCACTTTCTCTTGTGATTGTTCATGAATGCCCATTTTCACCTTCCCAAAAGTTCCAAATCCTAATGTTTTTCCTATTTATACACTGAAGCTAAATTACCTATTACATAATTTCCAATCATTCTTGTTCTATTGACTGCGTTGTTCAGTTATTATTCTGTCATTTTTTATTGTTAATTTACAAAAATAGTTAATTATATTATTATAGAAATATATATAGATATTAAAATGGACATTTTAGACCTTAAAGAGAACAATTAAAATGTGCTTATCGATGATGTGACCTCTAATATGAAAATATTACAATTTTTAAGAAAATAGAAAGTAATTAGCAATTTAATTCTCAATAGAATTAAAGATAGAAAAAAATAAAGAATATATAACAAATTTTTGAAAATGGACCTAGATTAGCAATTATAAAACCATGTTTGAATAATAAAAAATAAAACTCTAAATATAATGAAGAGGAAACATAATCTTCTTTAAATTCAAATAATTAGAATTAAGATCTGGTCTAGAAAATTTTAGATGCTTTGTCATCATTATCTGATAATCAATCAAAAACTAAAGTGATAAAGTAATTCCTTTCTGTCTCTACTACTTATGCTAAATATGAAAGGATGAAATTTATTGAAAAATATATTTCAGAAAATCTTATTTAATACCTTAAAGATAATTATTGTGTTGATATATTTAAATAATTGAATGAATTATATAAAATGGTATCAATAATAATAATTTTAGCTAGTAATTAGAATAATAAATTTAGAATGTATTATTCTTTGAAGCAGCAATGACAGAATTCTAAAATTAAATTATTTATAATTCAGCCTTTTTAGCTTCTTGTTTGATGAATATATGTTCTAAAATATAATGTATAATTATATACTATAAATAGAAAACACAATCAAATAGAGATTAATATTCTTGAATTTAACTGGTTTAAATAATAAAGATGACTAACTTCATAAAGAAAATTACAAAGATGATTGTCTTTATATTTCATTATA